AATGGTCATTCCACCAATCAAGCTAACTTTTCTTAGGGCAGTTTTGCTGTCCTCTAAAGCTTCTGTTCTCTACTCCTATTACACAACTCTAGCTCTTTTCAAGATCATAAGTCCACCTATGGAGAGCAGTCTTCAGCAGCAGCTAGAGTTTTAGTTAAGCAGGAAAGGGAGGATAAGCAGCTGAAGATTAGGTTCTATCTTTGCTCTCTGCAGCCATAACTCTGGAGAAAAAAAAAACCTCTTAATGTCTTTCAAAAACAAAGTCTGTATTATATTTGGGGGTGTAGCATATGCAAGAAAGTGTGGTAGATATGACCTGGCAACTGCCCTCAGCACATAGTATACATCAGGAAAGACCAGTTTCTCACTTTAGGAGCAACACCTGGGAAACACCCTGAAAAACAGCCCTCTTCTATAATTACCTAATGCTCTAACCCTATAGCTCAAATGGTTACAATACTGCAATGCTGATGGCCTAGGGATTCAACTCCTGTTGAAGTTTTATGATCCTGGGTGCATCTACACATGCACTTTACTCTGAAGCTGACTAATTAGCTCTGCAGTAAAGTATAACCATCTACATGTGCACCCACATTAGGACAGTAAATTAAATACAGTAAATTAACTCCACTGTAGGATAATATTGTCCAGGACAAGTACTATCCTACAGCAAACTAGTTACTGCACTGAAATGCATAGGTAGAGAGTGGCTGGGGCTGGCAGGGGCACAGTGTGGGGGCTGCTTGCTGGCTAACCCCTGCGCTTGCTGGCTAACCCCTGGACTGTAGCACCCTCATGCCCCTACCAGCCCCTCCACAGCACATTGATCTAGGGTGGAGCAGCTTTCCCCCCACCTCCTTGCTAGCTCAGGGCTGCTCTGCCCCATCTCAGCATGCCACAGTCCAAGGCATACATGTAAACGCTGCACCTGGGAAAAATAAACTCTACTACAAACTGCCCTGGGGTATATTGCTACTTGCCAACTGCATATGTAGATGCATCCACAGGGAGTGGGTTAGATGCACACGCCACAATTTGATGAGAATAATCTTTAAAAAAATGTAAATGCACACAAAAAGCAATTAAATGAACACAAGGAGAAGTTCTTATGTTGCTAAGTGAAGTACATGAAAGTTAGGAAATGTCAGAATGAAAGTTACAAAAGTCATCTTAAGTCAGACCTGCGTTATGGTGCAATTTTTGATTACATGATCATGCGTTTGATTTTCTCCTTGCCAGAGAATCCCTGCTTCATTCAGCATGTAAGATAGATGCACAAGGAACCAGAATAAAGACTTCATGGGCAATAAAAAATCTGTGTGCGCCTAAGTTTATAGCACTTGATTTTGCAACATCAATAATATTCTTTTAAAATAAATATCTGTGGGCATGTCTACACATGCAATTAATGCTATTTGGCTTTACTGCACTGTAAATTCATTACCTGCATATGCAGGTAGTAAATTTATCACTCAGTAAACTAATTTACTGTGCAGTGAGTGCCCGCATGTACTGATGGTGATATTTATTGCACAGTAAAGTGTCTCATGTAGACACAGCCCGTGTGGAGGAGAGTGTTGAATTTTGTAATTTCTTTCTTCTTTTTTTCCAGCAGCACGTTCTCTTCCATGGCAGGTTAGCAAGGGAAACCTAAAGAAAGTAGTTTGACAGTGTTTCAGGGCTTCCTCTGCAAAATCAGCTAAATATTTCAACCAGTTCCATAAATTATCTTCTGAAGTATCACTAGAAACAGAACGCAGGCATTAAAGCATAAAATGTGAGATTTGGATTCTGCTGTAAGTATATGTCTTAATGCATCCTGAGGGGAGCTGCTACTGATTCATCCATACTCCATCTTCATGAATTTCCTCATTAACTTTCTCCTCTCTACAAATAAACCCCCAAGCTTCAAACCACAATAAAAGGTGTTACTTCTCAGCAAGACAAATACATACATGCTTGGAAAGTCCAATTTGGTGACAGGACAAGTTACAAAGTCCCCCTAGAACATTTTTTTCAGAAAAAGTAAGCAAACTGCTACTCCATGACACAAAACAATCAAAGATGGACCAGGCAGTACAGAGATTGCCATGATATTTTAACCCCTTGCCTCCAGTTTCCTAACCCATTTAAAGACAATGACTTCTGTTGTTATTTCACTTCAAATACTCTTATTGCTTTAGCTCTTTCTAAGCTTTCTCTGTCAGCCAAGGAATAGGATCAGCAAGACTTAACTTCCCACATGATTTCTAATTCTTATGAAATGAGTATGAAGCTTGTTGGACACCTTGATGAAAGCCCAGATGTATTTCCAGGAACACTGGGGATTTGGAATTGTACAGGATTAAGCAGCTAGGCTCACTCATGCCCCAAACTTTTAAAGAGGGAGACCCTCCAGTTTGTATCTCTGGGAGGCCTATTTTAGGCTGATATATGCAGAGCTGAGGAGGCAGAGGAAACAAAAATGAGCTGTTTCCCGTGGGCAGCTTCAGGTTGTTTCTACTACAATAAAGAAACAACTGAGGATGTGTGAAAAACAGGAATGGCAGGTGTGCTACAAGTGGCATGGCAGCCTTTCTGTGTGCCACATGACAGATCAGGGAGAGAACAGGCAGCACAGCTGCAGATAGAGAATGGAGCAGAAGCCAGAGCACCAGATCAGGCACAGGGCAGGAAGCAGAAAGCAGAGCTCCAGGTTGGGCAGGGGAAGGGGCATGGGGCATGGGGCATGGGGCTTAATTTGTGGCATACCTGCCAAAAAAGTTGGCTCCCACTGTATTAGGTCACTGTGACTAAATCCCAGCCCCAGGCACTTTATTCTACATGGACTTGATTCTTTAGCTGGTGCCAACTATACTGAGGTCAGCGCAGCCATGTCGAACAACTCAGCGGAGGATCTGGCTCTTTGCAGGATGCAATGAAAACAATACAAACGCATGCTTTGCCAAGCTGTTTCTATTGCTGTTTGCAGTTAGAGTGCAGGAGGATTTACTGCTGTCACCCAGGGCACCAATAAGTGGTTTTAAGCTCCAAGGAGTTTTATTTTTATTTCCTGGTGTAAATGTCTTAGCCTAAGGAGACAATTTGGTGCAAAGTCTCAGTGCAGCCAGAAAAGTGAGACAGCCAGCAACAACAATTATAATCATCCTTTGTTTTGTTAAAAGGACACCTACAGCCAATTAATTTGCTGGATTCTCTTTCTGAGAAAGTCTTTCATTTCAGTTTCCCCTTTATCCTCTCTTGCTGGCTTCAACACTGGAGGTCAGAGTCCCTTCACATTTCACCCCGCTTAATCTCTTCCACATTTTTAAAAGCATTCCCTATCCCTCCCTGATGACTGGCTCTGAACCTGGTAATGGATGGGCTTCCAGCAAAGTCAGCAGGAGGTGGGGGCTCTCAGCACCTTGATGGATCAGGCTCCCATTCCCTACATTTTTTTTGAGCATCCCTGAGTATTTGAGTACTGTTTTATTCTGAGCAATTTCCCACTACAGGAGAAAGAGAATAATTAGTCTCCTGATAAAATACATGCTTATTTGTGGGTCTGCTTCCTCTCAGTTACCCTCAGTGACTGAGCCTGTACGTCAGGAGAAAGCTCTGAATCTTTGAACTCTGGAAATGTTTAACTTCAGTTTACGATTTCTTTTTTGGTCTGGGTACCACAGAGTGGCAATTGCTGCTGCAGACGTAGGTCAAATCTTTCCCTGTGCTTAAGTTAGATGTTTTTCTGATGTAGAGACCCAATATGTTAAAGCAGAAGTCCAGCTGAAGTAAATCATGAGAGTGCACTTGACTTCGAAAGGGTCACATTATTTATGTCTGCTTAAAAACTGAACCATTCTCATCATTTCCAATCTCCCCCAGATCACATTTTCCAGTGGTTCTTTTTCACTTGGAAAACTGTGCTCCCTGCCCTACTTATCACCTTGACTGTGTAGATCTGAAACATATTTCTTTCAGGGTTGGCACATAAGCAAAATTAATCAAAGTCTGCATGTGCACTGCACTAAACAATTGCATTGAGAATGATTCCTCACATCAATGTGTATTTTAAATGGAGATTTACTATCCAACTAAAAAAAGCCATCCATTTGTGGAACCTTTATAGCTGGCAGGGCAGTGAGTGATTCACAAGGATTTTAACAACTTTCGCTGCTGACACCTGAGGTATCAAGAGACGGGAAAGTCTCCTGCTAGGCTACGACAAGCAAATCCATTCTTTTCTTCCCTTTTATAAACATTGTTAAAGCAAGATATTCTTTAATCATGGGATGAACGCACTTATCAACACAAAGAAGTCTTCCAAATTTTAGCCCAACCAGTGTAGCAACTTCTGAGGTCCGGCACAGCCAAGAATTTCAGGGTTCGTGCCAATACGGAGTGAATATTTATTTTAAGAAATCCCTTTTAGCTCCAAATAGAGTATGGCTTGCAAGGAGTCATTGGAATAAATCTATTGTGCCTGTGGTTAGGAATTACCTTTGCTAGCTTCTTGTTTCCATCCACCATTGTCAATTCATGTATTTATTTATTCAGTCTCTAAGTTAAAGCAGCTCTCCTGCCATCTCATTAACAAAGCAGCCTTGTGGCAAATAAACTATGGTGGTTTAATATTTTGGGTTATGTGATTTCATTCTACTAGTACATTTTTATGGGATGCTGTAGCTCCCTGTATGTTTGGGACTGTCTGTCTGTCTAGAATTGTGTAAGATCACCCATCATTATGGCATCCAAGTGCCTCCACAAAAAGTAAACACAAAAGTCTCGCTCTCTCTGTCCTGTCAGCAGGGACAAGCTTAATGCTATTGTTAGGATGCTGGGGTGGGAATAGTATAATAAACATATGGAGCTTCTGCTAGTGTGTCAATCATTGCAGCTGCATTCACCCTCCCCCCCTCCAAAGTGATGCAGATTTCCATCAGGATCAAGCCCAGAGAATGCTAGACTACATTAGAAACAAGTAGACTTATTATTGTATGAAATAGCCCAAGCCTCATTACCTTTAGTGTAAGTTCGCAGTGCAGAGGTGTCCAGCGGATGCTGTAGCACTCCGTGCCAACAGAGAAACCAGGTTCAAAGGAAATCTTCAGGTCTGCTGTGTCATCCCAGGTGTAGCAGAACTCTGTTTTGTTAAGCCAGCATAAGTTCTTCACAAAAGGCAGCTCCATGTCTGGAAAGTTGCCCACATCAATCTCCACCACAGTTTTCTCCTCACTCAGGGTCTGCAGGATAAGGGAGTGGGACCGTCGCTCCCAGATGAGACCGCTGGTGCTCCCTCTCACGATCCAGTTCTTGTTCGGCTGGTCCACCACTTGCCAATAAATAATCCCAATGGTCATCACAAAGAAGACAGCCACTCCAAGGCAGGCGATAGCTCCCTTCCAGGTCTCATTCATCTCCTTGAACCCAGAGTCCCAGGTCACCTCTGGGATAGGACTCGGATTCCTGGGACGAGTGTGGGGCATTTTACACAAAGTAACTAGAAGTGATTTAGCAAGGAAGTGCTTCTGCTCCAAGACACCGAGCTCTTTTGCTCTCTCACAACTCCATGGGAAACTCTCTAACTTTGAGTACTTCCCCCCCCCGCAAAAATAATGATTATGTCTCCCCCCTCCTAGATAGAAAAAAAGGTAAAAAAAGAAAAAAAGGAAGAAAGAAAAGAAAACCCTCCTCAAAGCTCTCCACCACTCACCTCATGTTGCTAAAGGGAACTAAACTGGGGAAGTTATTCTAGTCTGCTCTGCACTAGCTGTGGACAGGGAGAGTGCCTGCAAAATATAGCTGCAAATGTGTGCTGTCAGATCCATCCCCCCTGCCAGATTTGTCCCAGGTGCTTGAGCTATGACGTTTCTCTGGCATGTCAGACTGTGCCTAATCAGGAACACTGTCCGTGGCCCCATAGAAACAAATGCGCCTTGAAAAGCCTGGATTCTGTAGCAGGGTTTGATTGTCAGCAAAGGGGGAGTGGGCAGCGGCCAGACAGAGAAAGGCTGGGTTCTGGTCTGCGCACAGCCTGGGATTCAGGTTCACAAAACAGCGCTAAAAGGGAGCATTGGATGCAGATGGATTATTGGTCAATTCTGAAACAAGGAGAGAGTCACCGTTGAAAGGAATCCTACAAGTTTAGCACCCACTTTAAATTCCTCATATAAAGGAGAGAGAAGTTAAACTGCCTGTTGGGTAGAAAAGAAATAAGATTTCATTTCAAGCATTATTTCATGCAGAATCTCAAGTAAAACAAGTGTGTGTTTTCCAGTAAGTACATGCCCTTGTTTTTTCTACTCTTAAGACAAGGAAAGAGAAAAGCCCACATCAGACACATCTGCTCAGGTTCAAGTGAGGCAGGTATGCCTGGAACGGCGGCCACCAGAATTTGGCCTCATCTACATGTACTTGCCTGTGGCAACAAGACAGCAATTGAACAGCCTACTTGCCAGAGCACAGAAGCATCTATGTGCTCCTGGCAGCTCCTCACAGCACCACTGTAGCAGCTGTGCTGCCAGAGCATGAAGTACAGCCCAGAAAGGCACCAGTTGCTGACAGGATCCTTGCAAATGTCTACCCACACCTTTTCCTAGCTTCTGGGCATCAGTAGATGTATTTCACTTGGCAGAGGTGATGTAACTGCTGGCAGAAAGGTGGGTGGGTTTAGCAAAAGTGCTTGCTGACCAGGTGGATGTAGACAAGGCCTTAGGGGGCACTGGCCCATGTCATGCAGGGGTATTAACCCTTGGGAGCCTGACCCAGTTCAGGTGAGCAGGACCAGGAAATAGCAGCGAAACGTGCTAGTTATTAAATCTCCCATTCACTAGCAGTGGGCCCAGGCCCAGAATCCTACTTCTGTTTTCTTTGCAGAGCCTTTGAACTTAGGGACCAGATATGAGGCAGGTGGCAAAAGAAATCTATTCTTCACAAGGCATTTTGGTCTCTGGTTGAGTGATGACCACTACAATGAGACACAGTGCTTTGAGTCTCTGTCGCAGAAAAAGCCATGAACACAAATTATAGAGATGAGGGAAGGAGGGGAGCAATGGGTACTAGTGGGCCCCAGCTCCACTGCCAGAATGGGGACTGATCTGCTATAGCTTCTGGGAACTTGAGGGATTCCCAAGGAACAGGCTATGGACCAATTTAGCTGTCTCTTGCATTGATTTCACAGGGAGTACGATTGCATGTGGCCTCCTAAAAGAGAGAGAAATATTAACAGAACCAAATGTTACCTTTTCATGTAAGAACTTGTTGTCAGCCAAGGGAAATCAGGCAGCCACTAAGGAGAGGTGGCCAGTTTCCAATCCATTTCCTGGTTGAGTTCCAAGTAGAGGTTTTATCCTATAATATCCCAAATGGTCTGAGCCTTCATTGTCTGAGGGGATCAGAAGACTATTGCTGCCACAGTGGAGAACTTTGTTTGAGGCCACCTGATTCAGACAAATGCGAGTGCTTGTTAGGGCATGATGGGATCTCTTCAATTCATTTCACTGCTTGCTGTGCCCAGAGACTGGATTAATTATCTTCCAGGCAGGCTGCAACGTATCTGGTCTCATAGGCAGTTGTAGGACCAAGTCAAGCAAAGCACTTGCATAATTTTTTTCAGATACACAGTACTACTGATTTCACTGGGATTATAGGCTTAGCTTTATGGGCTTCCTGAATCAGAGTCAGAGTAAGGAATTTGGAGGGGAAGGGGGGAGTTCTTAGATTATAAGGAAGTGACTGGAGGAGGATATAAATGAAGTAACTCTTTATAGGATACAATTTGTTAGAGCGCTTTTATGTTTTTGGAGGGAGTCCATTACTTCGATGCCTCTGGAAAATGGATTAATCAGATTATTGTAGTGTAGAATTCAATGTTACATTCTGGAAGGTACATAAAACACTGGAGATATACCAGAGAAATCAAATAAGTCAGATATCCTTGCTACATTACAAGCAATGCACTGATCCCAAATTCAGGACACGCCTTCACTGGAAAAAAGAGGCGTGTTTTTACATTGAGATACTCACATCCAGCTAACCAAATCAACTCCACATGAAAGTTAGAGTTAATCTTGTTTAGCTACATCAGAAGTAAAATGTGCTTGTGCCTCAGAGTTAACATATCTTTTTTGAAGTGCTCCTACTCAATGCCTTCATAAAACATCACACTACCCTGTGACAGTATTCTGAACTCAGCAAGTCAGATCCTTACAAGGTATAAATGGCATCGCTCGCTGTATTGGGTACAAGTTATAGATTTTAATAAGTGGCTGATGTTATTAACCACATACTGCAAGGAAGCATATCACAGCTTGCAAAGCTTGGGATGGTGTGAGAGGTATCTCTGTCCAATGTTCCCTTGCACAGATTCTTATGAACCTCTGAATATCCTCTGATACACACAAAAGAAGCCAGGTAAATTAGCAGGAAATTTAAAACTATAATGTATCAAGATTCATTATTTGATATTCAGACCATGTGCTGTTTGGACTGGATCCAGGTCAAATGTCATGTGTACCTAGACTGGCAAGGTGCAACTCTTGGCATGTAGACAACTCTTGGCATGTTCTCAAGGTAGACACTCACACTTGGGAATCCAAGAGGTGCAAATGTTCCATGGCCATGGCTGTCTTGGAGAACAATCCTGCAAGCAAAATGCACAGAGGCACTAACAGCATCAAACCAAGCTCATTTAAAAATCCAAATGAACACTCGTGGGAATGTTTTCCTGCAACCCTCACACAGCTCTAATCAAGAGATGAGGGGTAAAACCACCTTAACTGTGTTGTGATACCAAGATATAATTACAGCGGTGCATTGTGATACAGAGATATAATTATAATTGCATGCTGATATCTAATCTGAGGCTCCAATCCTACAATTTATGGTACGTAGGCAGGCAGCCTGCCATGCCTAGACCAAGCCCTGTTGACCTCAGTGTAGGGTGGTGCTGGAACAACAGACTGCTCACATGCCATACATGTGTGGCAGGATCCAGCCCTAAAGGATAAGGTCATGTTCAACATGCTAATACAGACTTTAACCCAATGGCTGCCAATCCTTTGCTGTGGCACCCAACTAGCCACCCTATTTGCTAAGTGCCACAACATCCATTTGGGACTGTGAACTCTAGCTTGGCAATTGGTGTTTTAAGGCCTAACTTTAAAGAGGTTCTCCCCTTACCCAGGAGAGAATGGCCACAGAAGGTCATCTGGCCATGGCACAGAGTCTAAGCTATTCTCTATTCTTTTCAGTGTTAGGCTGTGATTATCTTCTTCAGTGATATACCAAATAGTCAAACAAACAAACAAACAAACAGAAATATTACTGTGTAGACGCACAGCGTGTCTACTCCAAAGCTATATAACTTTAATCTGGGATAAAAGTGAGTTGGACTCATAGCGTACAATCTTACACTGATATCAGTCAATCCCCTCCAGAACAGAGTTACCCTTTGGAAAATGAGGTATAATGATACATGGATGTAAATTATACCATTTGTGTGTACACTCCATTAGTTAATTTTATTCCAGGGTAAATTTTATTCCAGAGCAAAAGTGTTGTTCAATACAATGCAGCTGTCCCTTCATCAACTGGCCAAGAACTGCATATGTCTCCACTTAGTGGCAAGAAGCCGTAATATCTACTGTATCCAGCCAGCCAGGGGAGATCTGGTAAGGTGTTGACTCCTTACTACAGAGTAGTAAATTTCTCCACAGCAATGGTGTAACTAAGGTAGGGCCACTTGGTCCAGGCAACTGGAGCCACTGCCCTGGGCACTGACTTGGGGAGGGGGAGGAAGGGGAGGCAGAAATAAAAATGCTGCCTCCTCACAATTGTGCCAGTGGTGGCAGCAAATGAAAGTTGCCACTGTTCCGCCTATGTCATTAAGGCTCTGCTCCATAGTAATCATCTTCACTCTTGTCTTTGTTCATGGTCTCAGGCTCATGTTATGTAAATAGTTTACCTGGGGATGGGGATTTTGGACACTCCTAAGGGATAATCTGTTGGGAGGACCATTCAGCCAACTCCAGTAGGTCAACCAACTTCTTGGCAGCTATATTCAACCTGTTCTTGAATCAGGCAGTGGAAGGCCTGACCAGGGGGAAAGCCACTCTGGACTTGGTGTTGCCCAAAGGGGAAGACATGGTAGGAAACCTGAAGATTGAAATTACTCTGGGCAAGAGTGATCACAATCTGATCAGTTTCACCACCTACCGAAAGGCTGGGAATTCTGCCAGCAGAACAATAGTTCTAGACTTCAGAAGGGCAGACTTTGGTAAACTCAGAAGTCTAGTTAGAAAGGCCCTTCACAACCAGCAACAGGATGATCCAGGAGTTCAGGAATAGTGGTGCTTCCTTATGGAGGCAATTCTCACTGCCATCCCCACGCAGTCAAAAAGGAGGAAAGGGGCCAAAAGACCAGCTTGGCTC